ACATTTGATTTTCTTCAGTACTGTAATATTAAAGCAAATTCTTTGCTTATGCCAAACACAGGATTCATTGTGGGAAACCAATTTTCAATATCTAGTTTCCCCAGGGAGTTAAATCTCTTCTTAAATCACAAAATTAACATACCTTTTTTATTCTTAAGACACTGTTGTTATAAGTAACTGTTTAATAAAATTCCAGACGTGTTTTAATCTAGAAAAATATTTTATACCTTTTTTGACATAACATTTTATACTTCAAATTTTTCCCTAAAAGATTTGATTTAAAAGCAGAATCTTAAAGATTTCAGAAAGTTCCTTATCTTTGAATCTTTTAACTTTCATCTTGAAGTTGAGTCACCTTGCCTTTTTTTTCCTTGATCACTGCTTCCTTCGACGTCAATCATTTTACAGTGATGACTGTTGAAATATCATATTAATAATGAATGAAATATGTATATAGGGTTAGTTACAGCTGATCCTGGTAGAATAGGTATTGATCCAGTGCGGGGATTACGAGTGCAAGGTTAACTCCATCCTACTCTTTTTCCCTTTCCCTTAGGAGAGAACTGTTAAAAACTATGGATTCTCCTGTTTGGCATGTCCAGACTTGCTAATTTGCTTTAGCTGTTTCTTACTGAAGCTGCGGATGCCAGAAATTTAACTCTAGTCTTATGAGAGCTGTTGAATTTACCAACTGGTTTTGTCTTCTGAGTTACAATTACATATATAAGGTGTTTAAAAACAACTCATTTAGGTGTAACCTTGAGTGCTACTGTACTGTTGGTGGGTGGGCCAACATGCTCCCAGGAGGTAGTGGAAAATGCAGACAGCTGTACTGTACTAGAATTGACTCATGGAAGCTTGTAAAAGTACAGTTATTCCTTGATTGACTTTCAGTATCAATCTGTCTGTATTACTAGTTCAGAGCTCTAGCCTGGTTAGGGAACATGCTTAAGGTCCCATAGAAAGTAATTTCTGTAAACATTGATCAAGGAACGTTATTAGAATAAGATGAGGTATTATCCTTAAAGATACTCTGTGTCTGTGCTTCACTTTAAAGCCATTACTGTCTACCTGCTGTAGATTTAAAGATATACTACACATATCCTCTAGACTATACAGTGGAATAATCTTATAACTAGGTCAGGTGACAACCATCTTATAACAAGATTCCTGACTTAGCTGCACTTGTGGCATAGACAAGGCCTAAATGACAGGTACAGTATTAAATGGGACGCTAAAGGTTTTTCAGGTTAAATTAGGTGCCCTTGTGCTTGCCTCCTGTAGAACAATCTGTAGAAGGAGGAAAAGTACAGGTACCAGGCTGTTAACTTAAGCCTCGTCTACACTGGAAAGTCATACCAGTTTAATTGACTTGGTTAAAATCACACTTTAAGTTAAACCAGTACAACTTTCTCATGTAGACAACATCTTAGATGTTAACTCCTGGAGTTATCACCACATTTGGCCCTTTGGGGAAAAGGTTTGCAAATGCTCAGAGACAGGCATGCAACTTTGAAACCCTATGGACTCTAGTGGTCTATGGAAGCTCCAGTGCTATTCTTGTATCTTTCAGGGTATACATGTTAAGCACTCCTGTGCTGTTCCTCATCCTCCCTCTTCCACCTAAGAGAGAACGCACTGAAAAGCCATGCTGTCCTTTTTTCTTCTCTCTCTTCTTTTCCAGGGGATGATAGAATTGGGGGAGGGGGAGTTAAGAATGACTACACCAGCTGGTTAGTGTAGCTGCTTCTTGGCTTCACATCTTTTTTGAAATAGTTTTGCTTATTAGTAGGACTGTCTTCATGTACAAGTGACTTTTAAACAGATTTAGTTAATCTGGTGCAGTAGATTGGGTGGACACTTTTAATTCAGTTTAAGACAGGCTTATTTTGCTTTAATTTCATTCCATTAGGAATAGATTTAAGCTAAACTGAAATAAGACGCTCATAACCAGAAATAAGAGTATCCACACAGGTTTTCAGTGGATTAACTAAACTTCTGAAAGTTTTTGTGTTGACAGGGCCTTAGTAAAAATCATTGTATGCTTTTAGAAAGAGCCTGGGTCTCCTCTCTTACAGCTGCACTGTTAAGGTGGGCACAATGGATCCATGATATCAGCATTATAATTTGACTACACTTTTTTGTGTGTCTCTGTGTTTCTGTGGAGAGGTTTCCATGTAAGCATTCCATATTTATGCTCATTGTTACTATATGCCTTTTGATTTGCTCCCCTCAGCACTCCATGTTGCCCTAGATAAAGAGAATAACCAATATTATATTATTTCCTGTTGAGAGAGAAAGAGAGAGAGGCAATCTGTCTGAAATAGTCTTTGCAGCACAGGAAATTTTTCTATTTATTACAGAACAGGCAGGCTTTTTTTCTCTTATGCCTTGCTGGAATCCTCTAAAGGGCCAATACCACAGGCCAAAAAGATTGGCTGGTCTGCACATTCTTGCCCTTTTGGGGGTTTTTTGTCTATGATTTATATTAGAATAGCATCTAGAGGGCCCAGATGTGGATTGAGGCCCTGTTTTTTGTAGGTTTGTAGAAACACAGTAAAAGTCAGTCCCTGGTCTAAAGAACTTGCAGTATTGGTTAATGACAAAAGGATGATGAAACAATAGGTGGGCATGCGGGAGGGAGGACAATGTAACAATAATACCAGAGTGTTCTACCATAGACTAGATGTGCATACAGTGTACACTTGAAGTAGTTCAGTATTTGCCTAGTTGTGATCAACTGGTGAAATTGCTAAATAAGGGTGATGTGTACACTAAGAACTGGACTGAGCCTGCCAACCTATTTCATGTAGGCCAGCATAAAATGGTGGTTATATGTATTCATTATTAATTTGCTTCTGGGTTTGAACTAGTATTGTAGATTGACCAGTGTTTTAAACTAGTATTGTGAAAGTCCATTACAGTCCCCATAGGTAGAGAGTACACTATCCATGCTCAATCCTATTTAAGACAAGGAAGATTATGAAAACTGTGGCTATTGAATTTTTAAATTTCTAATCAATACAACTGTAGTTTAAGTTAAAAAATCCCTGAGCATTCTTTTAACGCTTTACTGAAGAATCCAGAGAGAACAGCACCAACAGTTACACTAGTTAGGAAAAAAATATGTGTTATCTTTTTCTTCAGAGCATAAGATGATCACCAGTTGGAGTCAGTAAGAAATGTTCCTCATGGTATGCTACTGTATATGCCTTCTTTTTAAGCATTTGCCATTGGCTCTTGTTGGAGGCAGATTACTGGCCTAGATGGATTAATAATCTTTTCCTGTGTGTCAATTTTTATTGTCTTAGGGTAAAGACAACTAGAGCAGTGGTTCTCAGACAGGGGTCTGGGAATCCCTGGTGCGGGGGGGGGAGGGAGGAGGAAAGACTGCGAGCAGGTTTTAGGGCATCCACTGAAATAAACCATAGAGCAGGGCCAGCATTAGACTCACTGGGGCTCAGGGCAGAAAGCTGAAGCCCGAGCCCCACTGCTCCGGGCTGAAGCCAAAGCCCGAGCAACTTAGCTTCGGGAGGCTCCCAGTGATGTGAAACCCTGGACAATTGCTTTGCTTGCTACCCCTAACACTGGACCTGGCTAGTAATCTACTGAAAAACAGTTGTTGTAGCACTAGTGGGCCATGGAATTTTTATAGCATGTTTTGTGTAAGTGTGTGTGTGGGGGGGTGGGTGGGGGGGTACCTCATAAGGAAAAAGGTTGAGAACTTCTGCTCTAGAGCAGAGTGTACATAGGCAAAAAGGAAGCACCCATGTAAAATATGTAGTCAAGTTTGCATCCAAAGCTTATCCTGTACAAATAAATGTTTCTCTGCAGTCCACTTGGTCTTCAACTTGAATAACATCTCCCCACCCCCAAGGAAATCCAAACCCCTCAAAGAGTTAAATTCCTGGCTGTCCATTTGCTATTCAGAACTGCAAATTACTGTACAGAATATCCTCACCAAATCCTGAGGAAATCACTTACACCCATAAAGGCAAAGAGTGGAGTGTCAAATATTTTTCTTCCTTTAGTTGCCTTATCCTGGAGAAATATATTTTTACACACATTGGTTGACGGTCTAGCATTTGGTCATATAAACACTATAAAATATGTAATTTACAGGTGGGAAAAAAAGATTGCCCCACTGTTGTTACTTGAGTGCCTGTGGCTTGTAATTATGGAGCCGTATTGTTAACACTAGTAGAGCTGCAGTTTTCTCCATCAGACTAAAGAGGGATGAAATCTATTTTAAAATGGGATGCTTCTTTAACAAAGGAAGCCATTCCATCACCAGAAACAGAAGGCCCAGAAGGAGGAGTGCAGGCATGAAGGACTTGGACCAAACTGTGGGCTCATTAAAAATGGAGAGATCAAAATGAGGGGGATTGCATTCAGGAGATTGTTTTTCATAGATGTTTTGTGCTTTTAAAGAGTAAAGTTGTGTGTGTTCAAGAAATTCCTTTGCTTTGCTTTTTGTCTCCTTGCTTTATGCCACATGGTCCATAGTGGGATTAACTAGAAACCTGAGCACTCACAGCCAGGTAGTCTCAGGGGAATGCATTCAAGCAGTTGGGGGCTTGGGTGGGCTGAGAGCTGAGCCCAGGCTTCCAGTGTCTAGGTGACCAGACTGCAGGATTCCACTGCTCAAGAAGGATGTCAGACATGGGGCCTGTGCCTGGGGAGTACAGCTGAAGGACCCAGAATCAGGAATAGTGATCAGTCACTGCCCAGACCCAGAGATCTTAGCAGCATGTGAGATGCAGTATTTGGATCACGTTACAACAGACTGGTGTCTGTTGAGAGAGCAGGACTGGACCAGGTAGCCACAATACTTCAAAAATTCCTGTTTAAGGCATGTAAAACAAAACATTTTTCATAATAACGTAGATCTCCACTTGTGTCTCTCATTTAATCTTGACTACAGTATAATTTAAAAAATATGTTGTGATAAAAATAATTCTAAAGATATGTGTAACATTATCTCTTTTCTTTCTCTTCAGTTGGCTTTGCTAAAAACCAAGCAGTAATACAGAGCTCTGGGACCTACCTCTGCTTTCTGGATTCTGTAAGTTGGCTCTTTACATTTTATTTAGTTTTGTCAACAAAACACTTACCGTAGATTGTTTTTAATATGGTGGTTGATTTTTCTTAAGTCAAGATGTTTAAATGTTTTCTTAAGTCAAGTTGTTTCACACATGTTAAGTCCTAATTACAACTTTGTATTAATCTTTCAACCTTGTATACGGCTGCAGACTTTTTTACCTTCAGCTCTGATCCCATTAAATCCCAAGGCTGGGTCAGGTCAATATTTAGGCATTCTTTAGGCGTTCTCATGTCCCATGTGCTGCAGGAGAGATGGTGTTGATGATTCAGATTGAATGTAGTCAAGGTTGCATTTGATTGAATTTGAGTTGGAACTGAACCAGGCCTTTGTGTAGTAATAGGGGCACTATGCTACTGCTGGAAGTGCAGTTTTTTTGATACAATGTAAAATCAAAGTCCTGATTGCTTGTGGTCTTTATAAAAAGTGTCATGAGATCTTTTAAGAATGGAGATGTTAATGCTAGAGTCCTGGCTAGATTTTTAACTCAGGTAATCACATTCTGATTCTATAAATTCCTCTTGCAATGTCAATTGGATGCAGTATTTTTAAAAAATATCCTATATTGAACTCTTGATGCTAAATATTATTAAACAGCTGATATGTTTTACATTTGTTTATGGTCCAAGGAGTCTGCCAGTGATTTCCTCTCTCTGCCTTTCCATTCAAGAACTAAGTGTGGAATATGTTTTGCTGGCAGTAGCCTGCTTGACTAGTTGAAATATTGCTAATGCCATTTAGTACCATATTTAGTGACATAGTTACATGTTGCCCTTTTTTATTTAATTTCATTATATTAAGGTTTGTTCCAATTTCCTGCCTAAATAGATTTTTTTTAAAGCGAGTTTGGTACCTGAGGAAGGTTGTGGAAAGTTACTTTTCAGAATGTGCATGTCAAATATCACACACGTATTCCAGAAGTGACAGTTTGAGCAGTCGGAGTTACAGATCTTATATGAATCCTTGGGTGTTTGGAGATCTCACTTCATTCACATAGCACAGAGTTATTCATTTCAGTAGCTTGTACCCAAGTACAGTGCAAAAGTGTGTTTACCAGATCTCAGTGTTAGTTTCCTTACAGTTTCATTAGGAAGCGAATGTTAAAAAAGTAAGTCTCAGGAGATAAGTTCATTGTTCTAGATTTTGTTCACTTGCTAAACAACATTGTTTTTTAATCAGGTTATAGGTGTTCCATGTAAATTGTACTCATGAAGTGACTGATTAAGGCCTTCATCCTGTACAGTTGCAGTCAATGGGAGTTTTCTAGTTGACTTTAGTGGGCTTAGGATCAGGCTCCATTTGTCTGATGTGGGCAGGTTCAATGCAAACTGTTCCATGCATAACCAAATCTTACCCATCTTAACTTCTGTGAATAGTTCCATGAATTTGAGTCCTACTGACTTTTGGGGTTCAATGGCACTGCTTGCATGAGTGAAGTAAGCAAGATGTGACCCAAAATCAGTTATTTGCAAACCCCTAGGTATTTCAGCCTTAGACAGTTGCTCCACAGTGTGTAGCGTGGTTAAATGCTGGGGATTTAGGATGAAACCACCGCACCAATTTTTCTTGTGAGCTTAGCCAGCAAAAGCCCACGTCTCCAGAAGTAAAAAGTCTGTTGCACCATGTAGTGCAATGTCACTTCGGTGCAAAATACATATATATGTGATTCATTGAGGTAAATATCAGAGAGGATTATTCTGCCTCTTCCAGTTCAGACAAACATGGTTATAAATCAGGTGATTATAAATCAGGTCATTACTTATATTTTTTATTTGACATTGAAGAGGAGAGAAAGTGTGTGTGTAAAATCTCTTTTAAATGTATGAATTATTATTTACATGATTGCATGTATGTCATGTACCTTTACACTGCTGCATAATTTCCCTTCACTGGTTAGCTCTAGAGCAGGGGTCGGCAATGTTTGGCACGCGGCTCGCCAAGGTAAGCACCCTGGTGGGCCGGGCCAGTTTATTTACCTGCTGACGTGGTAGGTTTGGCCGATCGCGGCCCCCACTGACCGCGGTTCGCCGTCCCGGGCCAATGGGGGCGGCGGGAAGCCGTGGCCAGCACAGCCCTCACCCACGCCGCTTCCTGCCACCCCCATTGGCCCGGGACAGCGAACCGGGGCCAGTGGGGGCCAGCGATCGGCCGAACCTGCCGCGTCAGCAGGTAAATAAACTGGCCCGGCCCGCTAGGGTGCTTACCCTGGCAAGCCGCGTGCCAAACGGTGCCAACCCCAGCTCTAAAAGGCAAAGTAAACTATA